GAACTGCTTTTGGAGTGGCTCAGGGGTCGTTAGTGCATGCGCCTCGGGCAACCCCTCCTAACGTTCTAGGTTTGGCTGGATGGTCCCATCCTCGGGTCCTCCAACCTAGGGGTCGTCCAAGTTCAGCCTCCTCTTGGCAGAGCAGTTATCATCAGAGCGTCGTGGACTCCTTTCTGGTGTCATGTTGCTCAACTGGATGCTTTAAATCGTCCCCACAGACGGCGCCAATTGTTGATGCGTGGATTTCGGTCCTCCAGTTCTCCTCCTCGCACCCACCAAACTTGTTGATCCGGGACTAGTACCTGCAAAACCAAATCGAGCTAAACCAATATGACTCTAGTCACACGGGCTCCGATGCTTAAGTTAGCAAGAGAATAACGTAAATGTAGTCAACTTTTTCTAGATGCCCTTACCTCTAAGGCTGGATCGCTACTTATAGCTGTGAGGTTGTTCCAGAACTTTCCGTAGCTAACCCTAATTCCGTTGGAGGGCCTGGGCGAAATCGTGGATCGAAGACGGAGGATCGCTGGAGGGCCGTGGGCCGAGCACCGGGTCGAGACCGAGCATCGGGTCGGGACCGAGCCCCTCGCGGCCGAGTGGACTACCGATTCCCATTGCATAACATTAAATATTAAAGACTAAGACATATGCTAGCAGTCTATTTCTATTTTCTTTTTCTTTTTTCGAAACTTGTACTACCAATTATTTTTCCAAACAGTGTTTTTACATTTAAAATTGTTTCTGAACTTGATTAAATCAACCCTATTGTGTCTCAACTATGGCAATATATCCAACTTCAAGAAAAAAATTTAGGCCGAATTTAACATAATACATTAATCATTACAAAAGTAATAAACCAGTGATTATTGGACCAACACTTTTCCTGATTAGAAATATTAAAATAATTCCACATAAAAAATTGATAATAAATAAATTTATAGGCCAAAAGTTGAAGAAAGATTGTAGAAATCAAACCCTTTTAAAAGGCAAAATGTCAATTGGAGCCCAACTTGAACCAAAGAAAGGGAAACTTGTGAATGATGGGACTTTTAACCAAATACATCAATTTCCCAATTGATTTCCAAAACCTCATGCTTCCTTTTTCTTCTTTATGTGATATTTATTACTTTTTATTTCATTTTTTTTTAATAAAACTATTCTATCCATTTCAATTCCACTTGGTGTTTCTATCCCCTTTTCAACTTTGCTTTTCAATCTCTTTTCATACAAATTCATGGGCTAACATCAACTTGCATTATCATAATGGTTGGTTTTTGTTTTCAATTTTTTAAATAAATTTGCTTATTGTTAACTACTTTTAATTTAATTTAATTTGTTTTTTACTGTATCATATGAGTGACTTTTCGTAGAGCATTATATTACATTCATTTGAGTTTATTTGAACTATAAGCTATATTTGTAAAATATCAAACTTTCTTATATAAGTAAAAAAAAAAGTATTTATTTTATGCTATCTAAATACATCTTTTAAAAATTAGAAAGGGTTTGATATTACATTTTAAAATATTATTTTGAAATTGTTTTAGCAAATTAGTTTTCTATTTTTTAGTTTTTTTTTAAATAAGGGCATAATGAACCAAGAGAGCTAAGTGTCCTCCCATTTTTGTTTATTATAAAAAAACTAAGAGTTAATTCAAAAGTTCAGACTGAAGTAGAACACGAAGTCAAGGTGGGAAACAGCCTAAAAATCATCGTCTTCCTTGCAACATCATGCGTCAGAATGGATTAAAGTCACTTCTCTATTCGTTGCAAGTATATATCAAAGATTTTCCCTATTTCTAATCGACTTGAGGTTATATTCACATCCTTCACACTCATTAAAACTTGTTAAAAAATAAAATAAATAAAATTATTGTGAAGTGGATCCTATATGATTTTATTAATTTTATGAGATTCTATAGAATAAATAAAAAATATGGAATATAGTAGTTGAGTCAAACATTTGAGTTCTATAATTTATACCACTAAGATTAGGTTGTGGAACGTGTGAATATTTTATTTATTTTTTTAAAATTAAATCAAAGTTTATTTGATTAAAGTCAATGATAATATTTTCTTTACGTAAAATAAAATGATTTCCGTAGACAAGATGATAACAATTTTGTCTTATTAATGACAACCATTAAAATTGATTGTTAGCATCCCATCTACATTAAATCTTTCAATATCTTAAAAACCATTTTTAATTCATTAAAAAAGAGCAATTTAAATTCCTAAAGGTACTTAAATAAAAAATTAATAAAATCGAGAATAAAAAACTAATTTAAGACGTTTTATAAATAGGCACAACCTAACTAATGTTCTTATAAAATTTGTTTGTATAAAAAAAAGAGTTTAAATTCCCTTATTTATTAATTATTGACATAAAGCTGAACATTTTCCCTCTTTTTTTATTACTTTTTATTTTTATGATTTTATTTTATTTTAACTTTTCTTTTTAATATTTTATTTTAATTTTATAAATTTACAGATCTACTCGTCATTACTGTTAAATTATGTATAATATAATCTCACGAGGCGGTGCTTTGAGCCAATTAAATTTAGTATCAAAACTTTTTAAGTATAACATCTGGAGATAGGAGATCGAATTTATAACCTCTCAATTGAAGATATATCTCAATTACTACTGAGCTATGTTCGTTCAGAAATTTAGTATCAAATTTAAGAATAAATAACTTGAATTAAAAAAAATATATATAAATACATAAATTTAACAACATAAACAAAACTGATATTTACGAAAGTTTGCGGAAGAAAACAAAACTTTTCAGGTACAAAACCAAAAATAAAATGAAATTAAGGTAACCAAAGATTGAAAAACAAATATAAAAGTAAAAAAAAAAATTGCCCTAAAAGAAGATCCAAACAGCATTTGGAGAAAACAAAGCTTCATATATAGAAATGGGAACACATTTAATTTAAATTGCAGAGAGTCCCCATTAGAGATCAATTATAGTCGACAAGTTACAATTCCATGGAGAACTAGAGAAATTTCTTCCTCAAACTTTCTCTTTTTTTTCTTTTCAAAGTTTAAACTAATTTTTATGAACAAATTAAAGCATATTATTACTTACTATTACCATACGCTGAAAAGTAAAAATATACACATATATTACACCGGCCTGATTGATCGAAAAATAGAGGCTGCTGAATTGCATCAGAATTCAGAACAAGAATGGAGTCGGAGAAAACGCCGGGATCACCACCGGAATCGCTGCCGGGCTTCGCCTGAAAGAATCACAAGAAGATTATTTATTTAATTTTTTTCTTTCGTCAGATTCCATTTCCAGAAAATAGTTCCGATCATGGTATTAAATAAATCAATATATCGGTTATAAGACAAAGATTCAAAGGAAATTTCTGAACGGACAAATACCTGAATTCGTTACTGTTATTACGGACGTGAGCTCTGTCGTCTCGAGATCCGTTCTTCCTTTTTACCGATCGTTCACTGTCCGCCGTCCGATCATCACTCTTCTCTCTCTCCATCACCACCAAAACTACTTTCTCCTCCGAAATCGCTCCGA